TAAGAAGATTGCAAAACAATTGTTGTACATTAGTATTGAGATATTGGTACCTTGAAGAAGTATAACTTCTGATTGACAGAGAGTTTTCTATAATAGCTTATAGGTTTTTTTTTTCTTTTAGTGTCATTTTGAGTTTTTTAAAATTAACATCTATTATGGCAGAGTGCATAAGTATTTATTTTCAAATGAGAAATTGCAGCTTTCATTTAAAAAGATTTTGAGCAGCGTAATACAAATGCATGAGCTGGATGCTGGTATCTCATGTCTGTGATCCTAGCTACTTGGGAGACTGAGATTTGGAGGATCCAGGTTTGAGGCAAGCACTGGTAAATACTTCCTGGGACCTGCATCTCCAAACCAACCAGAGAAAAATGATCTGGAGGTGTGACTCAAGCAGTAGAGTGCTTGCTTTGCAAGCATGAAGCCCTGAATTCAAACCCCAGTCCCACAAAAAAAAAAAAAAAAAAAAAAACCAAACATACGTATGAGATTTTTGACATTTTAAAATGACAAATCCATACTTAGTATGTATTTAGAACTAATTGAGTTTATAAATGACAAACCTTGCCATGCCCTAAACTTGTTTTTGTTTGTTTTGTTTTGTTGTAGTTGTTTGTTTGAAACATTTTCTCACTGAGAAACCCAGACTGGCCTGAAACTTACCATTCTCCTGCTTTAGCCTCCCAAATGTTGGGATTACAATCAGAAGCCACTACCATGCCCAGCTTTGAGCTAAGCTTTTATATTACAATGTTTTAGTTGGCTATTTTCCCTTAAAATAAAATCTCTGAAGAAAAAAAGCTTTAACCCAACTATTTCTTTGAAGGACCTATGAAAAATTCTTGGCAATTTCATTATAGGATATAAGGATAGTAAATTAATAATTTAAGATGAGAAGGAGCTTTCTTTTGTTCTCTTCCTCCTTCCACTGTAAGAAAACAGATAGTATAAAGGAATAGAATAGAAATATTACTTCATTCATTTTACTGGTGAGTAAAGAGAATTTTTTAGACACTGCTGAATTTGAAGTATATTGAACAAGCTATGATTTGCAGGATTTCTATAATAGATTTTTAGAAATCGGTAAAACTCCTAATGTATCTGTTAATACTTATTTCCTACATCACATTGTCTTCATACTGCAGTCCTTTAGAAATGTCAGATGAAGAAGATTAATTACCAGTCTTTCTCTAAAATGGGAAGTAATAGAAGATTAGTTTCTAAAGTGGTAATAGCTCCACCCTAATAGTCTGTACAACTCAGTACTCTTTCAGAGTTTTTTAGTTAATTATAGATGTAATACATATGTTTGACTATATATATTTTGAGAGGAATTTGAAAACAAAAATTCAAAATTTATATTTTCCTACAATGTACTTAAACTATTCTGCTTAATCATTAATATCCAGGACTGAGTGTTGTAATAAGTAGGGTAAGACTCATTTACTACATGGCTAGTTATTATGTGTCCTTTGTATTTTCATGTTCTGTCACAGTAAAATCACACAAATGCTAGGATGTCCTCTATCACTCAACAATAGGTTTATAAGTGGATTCCTTTAAAAAAAAATGCAGCTATAGAAAATATGAATGAAAGTGTACATTCATATATATATATACATATACACCTTTATATGCATATGTGTATGTATACATATATACCTTTGTGTATATGTGTGTGTATATATATATGTATGTATATATATACACACACATGCATATTTAGTCTAAGAATGGCTCTTACTGTAACCAGAATTATAAGTCAGAGGCCTAATAATTCTAAGGGTTCTCATATTTCAGGTTAACCCCCCAAAAGAGCCAAGGTATTCATTTCACCCCACACCTATTTATAGCACTAAGACTTTATAGCACTAAGGAGTTTTGTTTTTGCTGTGCTGTAGACACAAGTTTTAAATGTTTAATGTCTCATAATTTTTTGTATATTTGCCTTAGTATGGCAAACGGAAAGACAGAAAATTCTGACGACAAAGGACAAAGTACATGTATTTACTTTTTCCTCTCCCCTGAAATTCTATTGAAATGTAAGCAGTAAAAGCCTATAGAAAAGTAGCACTGAGAGTGTTGGAGGTGAATATGGTGGAAATACTATGTACTCATGTATGAAAATGGAGAAATGAAACCCACTGAAACTATTCTAGGAAGTTGGGAGGGGGAATAAAGGAGAATGATGGAGGAGTGAATTCAACTATGATATATTGTAAGAACTTTTGTAAATGTCACAATGTTACCCCAGTACAACAATAATATGATAAAAATAAAAAAATAGCACTGGAAGAAATAGGAGGTACCACTGGAATATTTCTGAGAAATAGAAAGTGGAGAGGCTCAAAGCAATGAAGACACCAGAGGCATGAAAACCACAGTCTACAATATGCAAAAGAAGAAGTTGCTCTAGGAGTAAAAACCATTCTGTAGAATAATGTCAACTTTACAGACAAAATGGCAGGAGCGATGAAGCTGTAAGGTGTCCATCAAGGAGATTAGGAGCAAGAAATATTGTTGAGTATTTTGAGGAAGTGTGCGCCTTCCTCTCATTGTTGTATAACAGTTGCCTCCTTGAAAATCTAAACAAAACTGAAAATCTAGAGGTTAGGACACATAGTATGGGTGTTGACCAGAGTGTGAAAAAAAAACAGAGACTAAGTTACTTCTAGACCTCACATCAGCCTGAGAGGGAATGAAGAGGTAGATGTACCCCAAAGTGAAAAAAGCTAAAATCATTCCATTCTAGGTATATCACTTGTGAAAATCATCAGCTATGTACTTGCTCTATTAGTGCGTCTCTTGCACAAATTGTAAAAGGAGGCTGGCCCATAGGTACACACCATCCATTCACAGTGTTTGAAAACCTTCCTTCCCTGGAGGGAATGACCATTGGGGTAAAATGACATTTGTAGTGGTGAGAAAACCCTGACTAATCTGGGGGTAAGGGGAATTTTTTCCTTCCTCTTTGAAGGTTCCAATCTTTTAGGTCACTGGAATAACTAGTAATAGACAGATTAACAGGAGAAAAAGCATAGAGATTTACTAACTTGCCTAGAGACTTCACAGAAAGGTTTAGTACCCAATAGCTCAATGAAGTTCAGAAGTTTATACAATCTCTCATAGAGAAGAGAGACATGGGGGAATGCAGGTAATATTAAGGGAAGTAAGTGGGACAGAACAAGCAACAGTCTGTAAATGATTTTCTTTGAACGTCGAGTGGGACTGAAGGCAAAGGCAGCTTAGGTGTAGTGACATTCCTCATTCTTCTTTCCTGCATATATGAGTTTTATTTTCCTTGCTTAATGAGATTTCAGGAAGGAGATCCAAGACAGTTGCATTTCTTTTGGAAGAGCTTCCTTCAGTCAGATAAGAGAACCCCAGAGAAAGTGGCTACCTATGTTTAAAAACAACAGAAGGTCAGAGAGTCCCCAATTCTAAGGCAGCTTCTAAGGGCTTCCAGTTTTCTTTAATTCAAAGTGCTTAGCAGAACAAAGTGTCCTATTTTGTATTAATCTTGTCTTATTGATAAATAAGAATGGACAATCAAGAATTATTTAGAAATTTGAAGCAAATAGATAACATGAAAGCAACGAATTGAAATTAACCAAATGAATGACAATGACTGAAAGACAAGCTGCTTTCCAGAGATTTCTCCATCTGTGTTAGTCAGCTTCCCATCTCTATGACAGGATACTTGGGATAAACAACTTATAAGGAGTTTACCTTGGCTCATGGTTTCAGTCCATGCTTAGCTGGCTTCTTGGTCCCAATATTCCTTCTTAATGTCATGCCCCGATGGCTTGACTTAACTTCCACTAGGCCCCACCTCCCAAAGATTGCACCCTTCCTCCTAGTATCACCAGTCTATCAACTTTAGCATATGTGCTTTTGGGGGAACATTTAACTCCAAACAATAACACCATCCACAGTGTGCAGTTTTCCTGGAATTGTATGCACAGCCAATAACAGCGTTTCTTAGCCTTACAGCTAGGTAGGGTCCTGTGACTATTTCTCATCAGAGAAACAGGAGCAGATGTAATAGAGTTAACTTCTTAACCAAAGTAATGAAAAAGCTAATTTGTGTTTCCCACCTCTGTCCTACAGCTTCTTTACTTCTTTCCTCTACTCAAATGCTACTTCCTTAGAGACCTTCCCTGACATTCCTCAATAAAATAGCTCACACCTTTCCCCAACTCTCACTTTTAGTCTAGCCGATTGCACTACTTCACTTTTCTTTATAACACTTCTCGCCCTGTCATCTTTTATAAAATGTACGTTTATAAATCTATCTTCCCCACCAGAATAAATTCCCTCCATGAAGGCAGGGAATTTAACTTGTTTCAGCTGCACCCCAGCCCCAACAGCCGTATCTATTGTCTATCAATTATTCAATAGAATGAATGAATGGTGACGGAGTAGCAGGTGCTGCACTTGTCAAAGCAGTGCTGGTGGGACATCATATAAATAGGGCAAGAGGGATGAGTCTTTTAAAAGTTTGAGGCTACAATTTCCAGGACAGTTTATTGACAAGGCTAGAGGAAGGTGTTGTGTTCTAGCCACATCTGTCCTTATTTACAGTAGTTTCTGGTTACTGTGGTTTCCTCTGCAGCTCTGGTTTACAGTGAGAAGCAGCAGGATATTATAGTGCTCTCTGATGGCTGGTGTTTTTTTCAGCTATCAAACCACAGAGAAGTGTGAAAATTAGGTCACACCTCATGGCATTTAACTAACAAAAACTCCTCCTGGCTTAATACACTATTTCTCCCACTCCTATATTTCATTGTATAGTTTATCCCCTTTTTGGTGGGACTGGAATTTAAATTCAGGGCCTCACACTTGCTAGGCAGGCACTCTACCACTTGAGCCACTCCACCAGCTTCATTGTGCTTTTAAATGGGAATTATTATTTTTGGTTGTCATAACTTGAGATGGGTTTCTTTTTTTTTCTCCCCATTTTGGAAGAACTGACATGTTTTATTATTTCTCTTCCTCAGGATGGATTGGATAGATGAATATCCCCATAATTCTTTTGACTTGCAATGTTTGTTAAACTCATTTCCTGGAGACTTGGAGTTTAAGCAGATCTTTAGCGATATTGATGACCAGATGGAGCAAAATGCTAAAAGGTAAATATTGCTAATTATTTAAAATAAATTGTTTTCACGTTCTGTGTACATAAAATTTATCTAGTCTGATTTTAACGTTTCTTCTCTTATATAATTTTCAGTTTCAATTATCATTAACATTCTTGAAAAACAATGATTAGACTCCCCTTCTCAAAATTTAGCACAGTTGTCTATATCTAGTTATTGCTTTTAATAAGATTGGAAATATAAGCACTATTATCAAATAGGCAAATTAGAATTTATTAAGTCACTATTAATGATTTAATGTTTGAAATATTGATGTGTTGGATTTTCATTACTACGTATAAAGATAAGCATTTGAGGGGGCAGTACTGAGGTTTGAACTCAGCTTTCACACTTACTTGGTAGGTTTGAGACCATCCCCCACAGAAATTAAAATTTTGAAATTAAGTATTAAAATAAAATGGTAGTATAAGGTTGCAGTTACTGAGTTGCTATAAATAGAACATTATAAAATAGTATTTTGAAGCCAGACCTAGTGATGCATGCCTGTAATTCCAGCACTTAGGAGGTGGAGGCAGGTGGCCCACAAGACTCTATCTCAAAAAAAAAAATTAGATGAGCATTGGACTGGTGGCTAACTCATATAATCCTAGGGAGGCAGAGATCAGGAGGATCACAGTTTGAGGCCAGACCTGGCAAATAGTTTCCAAGACCCTATCTTGAAAATACCCAACACCAAAAAGCACTGGTGGAGTGGCTCAAGTGGTAGAGTGCCTGCCTAGCTAGCATGTGGCCCTTAGTTCAAATGCAGTACCGTTAAAAAAAGAAAACTTATTTTGAAAAAAGGAAAAGAAACTTATTTTGCATGTTATATGTCATTTTAAGTCTTCATCTCACTTAGAATAAGAGGCTCAGGACTCCATGGAAAGTTTGTAGGCCAGATTAGACTTCATCACCTACCCCAAGAATCATGCTACCAAATACTGAGGGAAATGGGCAGCAAGGCGTTTTCCAACACATGCTCTTCTTTGATATAATGGCCTTTGCCTTCATATGTATTTGTTCACCCTGGAACCAGGCACTTCACTTAGTTCAACCATTTTGGTCAAAGTTGTAATTTACCAGACGTGGGCTATGAATGTGCAAACCACAATAAAAATTTCTGTGGCAGCTGGGGCACTGGTGGCTCATGCTGGTAATGTAGCTGAGTCAGGAGATCAGTTAGAAGCCAGCCTGGTCAAATAGTTCATGAGACCCCATCTCCAAAATAACCAGAGCAAAAGGGACTGGAGGTATGGCTCAAGCGGTAGAGTGTCTACCTGGCAACCGCAAAGCCCTAAGTTCCTACTGTAAAGAAAAAATTCTATTGTGTAATGATGCATTTCATTATTTAAAATGTAGTATTTCCTTCTTTAAATTTTAAGGTACACTTTAATTGGTTCAATGAATGTGATCCAAGCAAATGAAATGTTCCTATGATAGTTTCCTTCTGGTTTACAGAATATAGTTGAATCTTTGTCAACATAAAAATGTGCATGAATACATTCAAAAGTTAGCATCTCGTTGGGGAGTTATAATTAAAAACAAAATCTTCTCCTTTCTCAGAATTTCTCCATGAAATTAGTAGAAAAGGAAAACAAGTTATTTTTTTTGATTAAGCATTACACCAGAATATATTACAGGCAGTCCTCTAAAAGGTTACAAAGACAGAAAGTAATCTTACCCTCTTACAGCCAAACAGACACAATCCATTGCACACATGCTAGCAAGTTAAAAGAATCACTTGTGATCAACCAAGAAGACTTGACAACGCACATTGTTCATCCTAACTTTACCGCAGTAGTTGGGGAGACCACCACCTAAGAGGAGAAACAAATGCTGTGAGAGGAGGTAGTTTTGTGAGTTGGAACAGGGTGCCCAACAGGGTAGTTAGGCTCTTAAATCTCCTACAGAAACTGGAAGGTGGGGGAGCTATGTCTACTGGTATTTACATTTCAAGACCATAGCTTAGAGGTTCTTGAAAAGGACACTTCTGGGTCTCAGAGCTGACAAAAGGCATAGCTAGTCTTCCAAGGGATGCATGTCAAAAAGATGAAAGCATGCTTGCAATTAAGTTTTCTAAGCATATGCTTTATGAAAAAACAGAGGAGGGAAATCTTTTTCCTTTAATTTTAACAGGGAGAATTAAACTTCCTATTTTTAATTTGTATTTGCTCTTATAGTATGTATATATTTAGATGTGTTTTAAAGATAGCATAATGTATGTATGACTTAACTATACTGTTGAGAGTGTATATTTGATATTACATATAAATATAAAATAACTGTGAAATATTATTTATGTACTTTTATGTTATACACACACATATACTAGCCTAAGGGAATTTTTAAATGAAAATAGTATTTACTTAAATAGCTTATCAAGTCATTTATCTAAATTGCAGAGCTGATTATATATATATTTTTTCTTTTTTTGGCAATACTGGGGTTTGAACATTTGGGGCCTCCTGTGTGCTAGGCAGTTACTCTACTACTACTTGAACCACACTCTCAACCCCTTTTGCTTTTATTTATTTTTCAGATAGAATGTTACTTTTGCCCAGGGCTGGCCTCAAACTATGATCCTTCCACTTAAGCCTCCTGCATAGCTGGGATTACAAGCATATGCCATTATGCCTGGCTTGTTTGTTGAAATGTGGTCTTGCTCACTTTTTGCCTAGGCTAGCCTCAAATCACAATCCTCCCAACCTCCACCTCCCATGTTGTGAGATTACAGGTTTGAGCCACCAAACCTGGTGGAAATTTTTTTTTAAGATAAACTCTCTTCACAATGGCCTAAAGGCTCCATCAAAGCAAAGGAAGTCACTGACGTGATGTTTTGCTATAGATTGCTTTCTTTCTTACTTGCTAAGCCATCTGTACTTAATTTTCTACCCTACTTGGTCAATAAAAAATCATATTTGAAAATAAAGCAATGATTAAAATATTGTATTTTGCATTCATAAATTATTATTTAGGTTGAAATTCAGATGTTAGTATTAAAATAAAATACAGAATAAAACATGAGGTTATAATTTTTAAATTAAAAATATTTTATTGCCCATATATTAAAACAAACCTAGAGCAGTGCCACCTCAAGTGACCATTGATCTTCACAGGGGATAAAATAAGGGAGTAGCTGTATGTGCCATATGCTACATTTAGAATCAAGTCTATTTTTCATCAAATTCAATTATGTTTTTATTATACCCTAGAGAATAAACATAATAGTATAGGGTATATATATTTTTAAAAATAAAACACTGAATAATAACAATGGCCCAAAAGAGTGTAAATCATTTATGCACTCATTTATTGCCTCCTAACAGAATAGCTCTTAGAAAATTGTATGTCCTGACGAATCAGTTACGCCATGCATACCCTGCAGTAGTTGAATTACCCTTGGCATTCTTGTACTCTAACAGTTCTATTTATCTCCCAATGGTGTGCATTGAATAAGTAATGAACATCTGTATGATATGGGTTTTCTACAATACTTTTAAAGGAAGAAAACATTAGCAATTCATTTTTAAATATAGTATTTTTTCTTGCAATTGAATGTTTAAAGCTGTATTTCTTACAGTGACCCTGACATCTTAAGTGCGAATTCCTTCTCTTTTCTTAATATCATCAAATTTTATGAGCCACAGGGTCTTTCATCTCCCCAAAGTAGTGGTTTACCAGAATGGACCAGTGTGCCCAGAGGTCAGAGAACCTTAACCGGCCCTCCAGAAGAAGCCGTCCTTCTCAGAACGCCACATTCACTGTTACACTCTCCTTTCTGCTCAAGTCAGAGCTGGCAACTTGCAGTTCTGATGATAGAAAGCAGTGATGATGAATCATTTACCCTGAACACATGTCAAAATTGGTAATAAGACAGTAAATAACCTGCCATGGAAGGATACTATGGATGTTGTATTCACATAGCTCAGTTAACTAACTAACTGAAAGTTACACACAGCACTGAAATATTTTTTGAGCTGACTAGAGTGTATTAGTTTAATAAGATATTGAGGTACAGAATGTCTCAGGCCCACAATATGACATAGAATGATTTTTGTGTTCTCAATGTTCAGTTGGACAGATATTATTTAAGAGTTTATTTTACTTTGTGTTTTCTAATTACAGACAACCTCTGTGGGTACCTCAGGAAGCAAGTTTTCCTAGTACTCGTATAAGATGTCTACTTTTTTATTTTAATCTAAAGAAAAAGCAGGAAGTGCTACTAGGAAAAATATTTGTTTTAATCCAGGACTTATGAGGAAAGGAGGGATATTGCAAGAGAATATTGGATAAATGATTTCTGTCAATTTGACCATGCTCATTAATAAGAGGATAATTAATAAGTGAATCTGTTAATAAGTGAATCTTTGATTCACTTATTTTTCACGTAATGCTTAAATATTTGCACTTACATATGAAAATTTTTTTATTTAGAGTTTTTCACATGATGGCTTAAAGGTCGAGAGGAAGTAAGCAAAGAAATCTTAAATAATCCAACTTTGCACTTCTTGTGACAGAATCATAAATCTGCTACTGGATACACAAACATATTAAATACACATTTTTTTCTCTTTTGTTTTTTATTATTTATTTTTCATATGAATATATTTTATAGCCATGGCAGTTTTATATAATGAAAGTCATTTCAAAGGCTATAGTATAAATTGTTATTTCTGGCATTTGGCACTTATTTAATCATACCAAGAAGATACAAATTAATATTTGCTCCTTTTTTCATCACCTATGTTTATACTTTGGTTCTGGATTTCTATACTTAATATTCCAATAAAATCCCTACCTCTTCTCCCATCCTACTGAACAAGACCAGGCTACATGGAAAGAAAAAAAGGGGACCACTTTTTTCATCTGTCATCAATCCACTTTCCAATTTCTTCTTGCTGGGCCCTTTCCACCACTCTTGTCCTCCTCAGTCAGACAGCATCCTGGGCCTAGAAGCCTAAACTTTCCCTGTTCCCCTTCTTATTTCCCACTCT